CTAAGATTAGACCCAGTTTGTATAAACCCAGAACTTTGGTTCTACTCCCTTCTTATATAGTTTATGAGGTGGGGCAGAGAGGGGTTAGAGTGAGGACTTTGAGGGTTCATCCGAACAGCCTGAGTGAGAGGGTCATGCAGGAAAACATCTCTCTCCCTCCCCTACAGTGATTCATTTAGAGAGCCCAAGGGATTAGCATCAAGCTTGAGCTCCTGGAAACTTTGCCTGGTGATCGGGTACTATGGGGAGGTGGCCCAAACCTGACTCAACCTAGAAGCTCGTGAGAAAAAAAAGGGACAGCTGGAAGGGAAAACTTATTTCCTGGATGAGGCCATGACTTTATTTTCTTTTTCGACAATGGGTCTCTTGGCTGGTGTGAAGAGCAACGATTCTATGCCCTGTGATTGTACCAGCAGTCTCTGACCCTCTGGGAACTGCGCTGGGTAAATTCCAGTGGTGTCAGGGCCCTGAATGAGTGGCTGGGCTTGGCTGGGGGAGGAGGTGGGGCTGGGGTGGGGGGGCGAGAGTTTCTGCTGATTGGTGACATTCCTAGGATTGATAGCATTCCTCCTGATGCTGTTAGGGGATGGGTTAGGGGCAGAGCAGAGAGAGAGCTGGGGAGCTAGGAGAGGAAGCCAGAGATGGGTTATAATACTTAGGGGCTGGAATCCCAACCCTGAATAATACTAAATTTCACTGAATCTTTAAAAAATCTTTTTAGAGCCCTCAGAGGCATCCCAACACCTCCTCCTGCTGGGGTGAGCCACCCTTCTACAAGCCAGGCTAGATAGTGACTTTCCTGGTCCAGGATGTCAATGAAACATTTGGTGTCTTCTTAATCTTCTTGCCCTACTGGGGTCTCCTAGGCTTCTCTGATGTTCTTAAAATCTGTAATCCTCTGTTAACTTCTCTTCAGCTGAGCCTTGACTTTGTGAATACATTTGAGACAAGCCTCTGATTCATACAACTCTCCAATAATAAAATGCTGTAGAGGACTGATCTGAATAGTGCTGACTGCCCAGAGATGCCACAGGAGAGGGGCTTGGGAGGTGGAGAACAGAACTGTCCTGTTCCCCTCCTCTGATCAGCAATTTCCTTATTCTTCCAACTGGGTTCTGACCCGTATTATCAATGGCCTCCTTTGAGCCATGGGACCCGTCAGCTCATGGGTAGAGGACTTCACTCTTGCAATCACAAAACAACTTAACATGACGAGTTTTTTTTCAACACAACTCCAGCTTGGGAATCTGTTCTAGGATTTTTGGCATAGGCATTGGGGGCAAGGGGAAGAATTTGTATGAGAAGTCCTCAAGGTTAAACTCAGTTTATAGACACTCAGAACTTTGTTTCTAGAGAGTGGGCTAGAGGGCTATACAACCTGTGAACTCCAGACTCTATTCTTCTCCCTAGCTCAGGGCTTCTTAACTGTTTTGTGTGTGTGTGTGTGTGTGTGTGTCCTGGAGCCCTGGTAGCATTTTGGTAGAACCTATGGACCCTTTCTCAGAATCATGTTGGTAAATGTATTAAATAAAATACATTAGATTTCAAAGAAAACCACTTATATTGATGTAGTTATCATAATATATTTTTAAAGTTCACAAACCCCAAGTAAAAACCCTTGTGTCTAGGGGCAAGGCTCAGGAGTGCATAGAGAGCCAGCTTTGGGCTCAGGGAAACCTGGATATGACCTGGGCAAATCATTTAAACTCTCATTGTTCTGGGTAACTTATTTTTTAAAATAATATTTTATTTTTATCACCAATTACATGTAAGACAATTTTAACATTAATTTTTTTAAGTTTTAATTTGGGGGCAGCTAGGTGGTGTAGTGGATAATGCACCAGCCCTGGAATCAGGAGGACCTGAGTTCAAATTCGGCCCCAGACACTTGACACTTAATAGCTGTGTGACCCTGGGCAAGTCACTTAACCCTGATTGCCTTGACTAAAAAAATTTTTAATTTCCAAATTCTGTACTTCCCTCCCTCCCCCCCCACATGGTAAGTAATCTGATATAGGTTATACATGTAAAATCATATAAAACATATTTTCATGTTAGACATTTTGTGGAAGAAAATGGAAGGAAGGAAGAAAGAAAGAAAGAAGGAAAGGAAGGAAAAGAAAGAAGGAAAGAAAAGAGAAGGAAAAAAGCAAGAAAGAAGGAAGAAAGGAAAGAAAGAAAAAGAAGGAAAGAAAGAAAAAAGAAAGAAAGAAGAGAGAGAAAGAAAGAAAGAAAGAAAGAAAGAAAGAAAGAAAGAAAGGAAGGAAGGAAGGAAGGAAGGAAGGAAGGAAGGAAGGAAGGAAGGAAGGAAGGAAGGAAGGAAGGAAGGAAGGAAGGAAGGAAGAAAGAGAAAGAAAGAAAGACCTGGCTAACTTTCTAGGACTATAAATAATAAGAGGTGGTTGATTTGCATCCATGGAAGAAGTGTTAACACTGGAAGTTACCCAAAATCATGAAATCATATGTCTAGACTCCTCCCCTGCCCCCCAAGTTACCATCTTTGTCCATAATGGTGGTAGAGTGAGTTCAATAGAAATGAGCTTGCACAATAGAGAAAAGGCCATTGGGATTATACTGACTTTATTTGACCCACAAAGTGAATAATTCATGTGTGGAGAATTGGCTATATTTAGCATTCCCACCATTGTCTTCAAGCAGGTGACCAGCACATATTTGGTGCTCACTGTATACCAAATGCTGTGCTAGGTACTGGGGGTACAAAGATTAAAAAAAAAAAGAGGAAATAGTACCTGCCCTCAAGGAGCTTACATTCAGTCTATTCTTCCTAGCAGAAACAATAGAGCAAGACTGAAATCTCTTTATCAATAACATCTTTCATTTCTATGATAGTATAGATATTGTTTTCCCTCCCATCCATGCCATTGAAATAGGATAAAGGCAGGGAAAGGACTAGTCCTTTTCCTCATTTCACAGATGGAAAAACTGAGGTTCCTAGAGTAAGTGTTCTGTGCAAGGCCAAGGAGGAGTTGGCAGCGAAAACTCAGGTTTCTCCATTTAAATTCTCCTGCTGTCTCGCTACAGGGACTTGGTATATGAGCTCTCCACACCAGAGAGGGCAGATCATTGGATTGCCTGTCCTTGGCTGCTCCCCCCACCTTTCCAGATGGACGGGTAGAAACTAGAATGGATGGATGTAGAAATTACTCCTTGGGGCTGGGACTGGTTTTTGTTTTGTCTCTGTAACCCAGCACCCTAACACAGGGCTTAATAAATGCTGGTTGGCGAAAAAAAGCCCAGTTGAATGCAGTTTAATGATGATGTCCAAGTGTGGCCTCAGAGGAGAGATGAGAAAACGTGCCTCACTCCATTCCTTGTGTGTGTGGAGGGGTGGAAGTGGGGGAAGCAGTATGGACAGTCAGATGGGGGGCTGGAGGGGTAAGTTTGGGTGAATGGTTTCCCCTTCTCCTTTCCTTTTAGTTACAAAGGGTGACTCACTGGATAGGAGATGGAGAGGGAGGCATTTGGAAGTGGAGGTGATAGAAAGACCAGGGACAACAATTTCAAAATGTAATTGTAATTTTTAGTATTTATAATAAAATGATAATTTTAATGTAATTATAATTTTAAATGCTTGTTAGATTGGGATTGTTCCACTGATTCACTGGGTCAAGGGATTCCATTTGACAGATATGTTTTAAATGATGAGGGCAGAGTATATGCTAGGAGCAGTGATGGCTAAGGAGAAATAAGCCAGGGCCCTGCCTTCATGCAACTTATAGTCTTGGACAGAGGTTCTTAACATGGGATAGATTTTAGGGGGTCCATGTTCTTAATGTTTTGGTCACTGGATCCTTTCCTATGCAATCTAACATATTTTATTTTATGTTTTGAAACATGATTCTGAGAAGGGTCCGTAGGTTTTAACTGTGCCAAAGGGGTCTAGGATCTAGGACCACCCCCCAAATCTAGCATTTATATTGTGCTTTAAGGTTTGTAAAATGCTTTGCACACATAATCCTCTTTTCCTTTCCTCATCTGTCCCATTCCTGATATACTTTATACCATGCTACCTCAGGCATACCCTGCTGCTATCTCCCCTCGGTATTGTTTTCTCCCATTTGCTTGTATTTGTATCCCCTGCATTAGCACAATGCCTGGCACATTCTAAGAACTTAATCCCCTCTTTCCCTCCCTTCTTTCCTTCTTTCCTTCCTTCCTCATGCATGGGGTAGTGGACCAAGAATTGCCTTCACAGCCAGAAAGACTTGGATTCAATCTTTGCCTCTGTCACATATTGACTGTGTCACCTTGGGCAAGTCACAACCACTCAGTGCCCAGGGCAACTCTCCAAGACTGTAAGATGGAGAGCAGGTGCTAAACTATATAACTGGGAAGAACTTCCTTACTGGGAGTTCCCTTTATAGCAATAAAAATCATGGGTCTGGTAAAAAAAAATCTCTTTGGGGCAGAAAATAATCTTAGTGGCTTTTTCTGGATAGCCCAGTGGTGAGAGGTGTTGGGGATGGGTGATGTTTTCACTGGTGACCTGTTGCTTGTCACTGGGGGCTGGGTCTGCAGCTTGGAGGGGAGAGTGTATTTGAAAACGTTCTCTCCATGTCCACATGCCCGCTTCAGGAAGAGCTCAGCCTATGTTGCCAGATCTTCAAGGATTCCCGGACTTTAGGAAAGCCAGTCTGCCATCTTGGACAGTTGACTTTTCCCAGGCCTCAGTATCCTCTGCTTCCTCAGACCAACCTGCCAGCCCCCAACCTGTCTGGAGAGCCCTCAAAGGCAGCAAGAAAAATGAGGGACTTTCAGGGGCAGCTGTGTTTGATTAACTCAGTCATAATGCCCCTAAAAATCCTTATTGCTCTTGCAATGGTCTCCTGGCATCTCCATGGAGTAAGGGCAGTGGAGGAGGGACCCCTGGGATTTCTTGGGAATGAAGAAAGGAGTCTTTGGGACTCAACATGTATCACTCTGGCCCCAAATCAGAGCCAGAGAGAGAATTCATGAAAATACATCCATTTCTAAAACAGGTAATCTGTGCCTTCATTGTGGAGCATCCTCTAGGAGCGGGACAGCCATCTCCAAGAGAACCAGCTTAGGCTGCAACCTGTGGAAGAAGCTTCAGAGTAAGTGTTTATGCTGAAAGATCATGTAGACACTGCACAACTACACATAGCTGGTTATAGAGGGAGTGCATCCAGTTGGCTGGTTTTGGTTTTGATTATTGAAGGGGACAAATACTGCTGCAAAGGATTCCCCATAGACCATTTTGGACATTTTCAGGAGTGGAGTGGGGTGTGATGAGTACAGTGGAAAGAGCGCTGGTTCTGCAGTCAGAGGGCTTGGTTCAAATGCCAACTCTTTAATGCCTGTCTGACCTTGGAAAAGTCACTTATTCACCCTGGGCCTTGGTTTCCTCAAGGGAGCTCTTCTAGGTGACCCTTGAGGTCCCTTTAGATCTATGATCATACATTCCTATGCATGGTGGACTTTTCCAGAGGGGCCATGGAAATTCTGTATTTGTATTATATGTTGTATTATACATTTGTATGTTCATTGTACAAATTCTGTATTCTGCATTGTACTCTGATGGTTACCTTATCTGTAAAATACAGGGACTGTACTACCATGGAATGGGAGGGGGATTTCAAATCAGACCCCTCAGCTCTGATACATCTTACTCATAGGATGGTAGGCAAATCATTTCATTCCCCCGTTTCTGCATTTGCTCATCAGTAAAGGATTAAATAAGATCAGTGGCTCTCGATTTTTTTTTACCTCAAGGCTCTTTAAAATTATTAACCAATCACCAAAGAGCTTTTATGTTGATCATGTCTATTGATATTTTTATCATATTAGAAATTTAAATGTCTTAGTATTATTATGAAAATATTTTTGACCTCCTGTCCATATTTTAGACCTCCCCCAAACAGCCTAAGGTAGAGGTATCCAACTGAAATAGAAACAGATCCCTGTGGGGTCACATGTTAACTTAGAAAACTGCATGGCAGCCGTGATGTTGCATTCTTACTGATTTTGTTAAATATTTGCCAATTCCATTTTAATCTGTTTCTACTCTGGCTGTGTGTTTGGCCCCTCTGGTCTAGGGGATCCCCAGGGGTCCTGAGACCACACTGGATTGGGTGATCTCTAAGACTCCTTCTAGCTCTAAATCCTGTGATCCCATGAATTCTATGATTACGAGGATTTTCTGGGCTTGCTTCATGGGAACTCTCTATCTCTGCCATCCTGGTCTGTTGTTGGGATAAATCAGGTTCCTATGCCATTAATTGAAGTGTTTGTAGTTTTATTTTTTGTTTTCTGCTGAGAGGAAATTCATTCTATATTTCTTACATAGTTCTCAGTTTTTAGCTTGTTATATATGGCCACTGTTATCTGTGCCAGGGGCATATAACTCAGCTGAATTGGATTTAGAGTCCCTGGAGAATGGTCAAAATAAATTTTTTTTAATCCAGCCTGTAACTTCCAGTTACAGATAACTGGCAGGTAACTTCCATTGTGGAAGTGCCCTCCACCAATGGGGATCAGCAACTCATCTGTAACTTCACAGATCATAGGCTTGGAGCTGGAAGGGAAAGTTAGAGGTCACCTAGCCTTACTACCTTATTTTAAAAATGAAGAAACTAAAGCCCAGAGATACATCACACAGGTGGTAAGTAACGGAGGCAGAATTCCAAATCCAGGTGTGATGATTTCAAAACTAGCACTCTTCCTTAGAAAGATCCCTGAGAAATTGAGACTTTTATGGTCACACAGCAAATGTATCAGGGATGAGGCCTGAACACAGCTCTTCCCGTCTCCACGCTCAGCCACCTCTTCTCTGTGCTTCTTTTAAAATTCAGTAAAAGGGAAGAAAATAAAAGAAATTTACATAATAATGTTATATTTAAAAGGAATAGCAAATTGTACATAATAGATTTGCAGTTTCATGCACAATCATCTTTTTTTCATTATACTATGTTATGGAAATGTTTGTTTTATTCCATAAATTAAATAAAAATTTAAAGATACAATAAATTCAAAAAACAGGAACCAAACCATTCTCTCCTCCCTCCAAAAACATAAAAAAAGAAAAGAACAAAAGAAAAATATACACACCAAAACCTTAAGCCCAAATAACTATTCCCAAGATGTGCGAATGAGAAAAAAGCATTGCCACCTTGCCCAGCAGGGCAAGACATTTCCCAGAGACAGACAGAAGCAGGACTCTGCCTGTTCTATCTACGCAGCTTCTCTCTGTCGACCTCAAATGGCAACAGGGAAATTCATCCGCCAGGTATTTCGGGGATACTGTTTCATCTTGTCTAATGTTCCGAGCCGCCAGTTCTCATTCTCTCATCATCTGGAAAAAATGGCCATGTGCTCTGTAGGTTCCAGAGGCTCTGAGCTTGCCCATCACCCATCAGAGGTGGCGGGAGGCATCATCGCCTTCTGGGGTTGTCGACCTCCTCCTTCCCCGAAAACGCCTGCAGTCAGCTGACTGTTCTCTTGCTCACTCTCACAGAGTGGGTCTTCAAGAAGTAGCCTCTATCTACTGCCCTGTCTAGGCTCAGGCTTCCAAAGGGAAACGTGAACTTGCCTGGTATTTGTGCATCCATTTACACAGGGTGGGAGCAGGACAGGGAGAGGGTTCTGGTGGGCTCTGAGAACCAGTTGTAGGATTTTCAATGGGAGTGTTTATATCGTGGAAAAAGCAAATGCTGCCAATCAGGGCTTGGTTCTTGTTTTGTGAATTACTTAGACTCAAGAAAACGATGGATAAAATGTTAGTAATGCACACTAAACTTAGAAGCCTGTCGTTTGTACATTTCCTCCCCTCAGGAAGCTGGTTGGCTGTTAAGCATTTACCAACTCGCTCCTAGGTGGGAAAGTGGTGGTGGCTCACACCGTATGTAAAAGTATATAAAATTATTATCACATCCTGTGAGGGAATAGAAGATTGTGCATACACCCAGGATGTGGCATAAACTTTAATTAGTTTCTCCCTTCTATCTTCTCTGTTTCTCTATCTTTGCCTCTTTCCTTTGCGCCCTCTTCGTCCTTACTCTATGCCCTCCTCCCTTCCCTTCCTCCCCCTTTGCCCTCTGCCTCCTCTCCCTCCCTCGCTCTTCTTTGCTCTCCCCCTTTACACCCTCCCCTTTTTAGCCCTCCTCCTTCACCTTCTGTCTCCTAGCTTCCACCTCTTCCCCCCACCCCTTCTAATCCCCCATCCTCTTTTCACCTTTTCCTTCCCTGTCCTCCCCTCTTTCCCCCTCTTCCTCTTTCCTCTCCTCTTCTTCCTCCTCCCTCTCTTTGTCCTCCCCTTCCTCTCTTCTCCTTCTTCTCCTTCCCTCTCTTTACCCCTCCCTCTCTTCCTCCTCCCTCTCTTTCCCCCTCCTCCCTTTTTCCCTCTTCTCGTCTATTCCCCTTCCTTCTCTCTTTGCCCTCCCCTCCCCCTTCTCTCTCTTCCTCCTCCCTCTCTTTGCCTCCTCCTCCTTCCCCTCCTCCCTTCCCCCTCTCCCTCTTCCCCCCCCCCGCCCCTTTACCACCTCTCTTTACATGGTCTTGTCTCTTTCTGCCTTCTAATCTCATTCCCTGCTCCCGTTTCTGTTTGTCCTTTATCTCTGCCTGTCTCATGCCCATTTATCCTTTCTCTTCTCACTTTACTTTCCTTCTCTTGTTTCAACTCAAGTCATCCTCATCCATCCAATGTCTCTCTTAACCCTCAACTCCTTCACCCATTCTCCCTTCTCCCTCAAATGCTCTTTTCTCAGCCTCCCTCCCCCTATGCCCATCCACAAAGCGATGCAGCAAACACAATTAGTTTTTTAAAGTGATAAAATATAAAAATAAATAAATGGATGTTCATGAGATATAGTAGAAAGACACTGGCTCTGTGTGTCAGAGGCCCCAGGTTCGAATCTTGTCTCTGTCATTTCACTAATCTGTGTGATTGGGCAAATCACTGAATGCCCTTGGGCCTCAGTTTCCTCATCTGTAAAAAGGAAAGGTTTGGACTAGAGAGCCTCTGAGGCCATTTCTTGCTTAACCCTATGGTGTCTTGACCTTGGGCAAGGCATTTTAATTCTCTGGACCTTACATTCTTCATCTGTAAAACAAAGGGATTGGATGCCATGACCTCTAGAATCCCTTCCAGCCAGTGGTATGCTGGTAAATGTTTAACAACCGACTCTGGGGAGGGGGGAATGCATGCAGAATGTATGCAGAATACACTTAATCTGCATTTTTAACATTGTACATCACTCTCTTAAGTCCAGACAATCAACAAAACAATACATTAAGCCCTGATCAGTAGCATTTGCTGATTTCCAAGGTAAGAATGTTCACGCTGAAGATTTAACATCCATCTCTCACAAGCCGCTTTGAGCTGGCTTCAGCTAGCTCTAGGATGCTAGAGTCCATAAATCTGTTATTATTTGATGCCACATCGGGCCAGGACGTGGCTTGCTCTGGATTTGGACACCTGGGTGAATGAAGCTTAGCTTTACTGTGTTCCTAAGAGCACTTAACCAATGACTCTCATCTATGACCTGGTATAGATAATGCAGATGACACGTCTCTTTGATATGCAGAGGTGACATTATTAATGGCAGACCTGCCTTTGGGGACATGATGGACATGGTTCTAGGGCTGCTGCGCCAGCTTTCAGAATCATTCCAGGGGCTGTCCTAGCCTTGGAAGCCAGCCTCCTTCTTCACCCCCAAGAGATGTTCCCTTCTTCCTCTTCTCTGATTAGGAAGGCTGTCAGTAGCCATCTACCCTGGCCCAGCCAAGAGCCGCTGACCAGGCTGCATGCCAGCACAGTGAGCTAACCAATGCATTGTCCCCTCCAGGAAGTGTCACGGCCCAAGCAGGGTGCAGGTGGGGGGGGGAGTGAAGGGGGCGGTGCTGGAGGGGAAGGCATTTCCCTGTTAGGCTCCTGCCCTGGCTACTCTGCAGATTGGGAAGATAAACCAGCCTTAGGGGTGGAAGATCACAGCTCTCCTCATGACTTCGTGGCTGCTCTCCAGGCCCACGGGCTTCTGCAGGGAGGGGCCCCAATAGCTCAGACCCAATCCCTCTCTGGCTTGGCATCATGCCTTCTCACCTCACCCTGGCCAGCCTGTTCCAGCCCTGAATACCAGCGGCCAAAAACCCTTGCAGATTCTTTTTTTTTTAGCTTGAATTAAAAAAAGCATTCTGAACTAAACACCAAACAAATTTCTAAAACCATTTCCATACACACGGCAGACTTTTTTTGTGTGTGTGCGCATAAAAAGAGCATTCTATATGAAATGTGAATCTCCATTTCATACCATTTACTTTTTAAAAAATCTGCTAAACAGACTATTTTCAAAACTGTCCTGCTTGTTTTTTCATTACGATTGCTAATCTTCTGACCCCTCAGTTTCCTCTGCCCCCGTTAGAAAACTGAAAGAAAGAAAAAAACGTCCCTTGTGACAAATAGTCAAACGAAAAATGTGGCAGCCATGTCCAAAACTATGCCTCTTTCTGCATCTTGTATCCATCACCTCTCTATCAGGAGCTGGCTAACAGTCTTCATCACAGGTTGTCTGCAGACATGGTTGGTCATTTGCAGATTGATTTTCCAGAACTTTCTCCTTTTCTCCTAATGGCGGCTGTCTGCTAAAAGCCTCCCGGCCCCACCCATCCCTTCTGAACCATTTACAAAGACAGCCTTGGGGGCAGCTGGGTGGTGAAGTAGATAGAGCACCGACCCTGGAGTCAGGAGCACCCGAATTCAAATCCAGTCTCAGACACTGACAAGCTGTGTGACTCTGGGCAAGTCACTTAACCCTGAGCTATAACTATATGGACTGGGGATCACTTCTATCTTCCACTCAGAATTATAAGATAATAGATTCAGACCTAGAAGGGACCTGAGAGGGCATGGGGCCCAAAGTCCTTGTTTTATAGATGAAGAGACGGAGGCCCAGATTGATCAAGTGTCTTGTTCGAGGTCAAAAGACCATCAGTCTAGTGTGGGAAGGGACTTGGGAAGCTGACTAGTTTGCCCTCCTCCATTCACAGATGAGACCACTGAGGCCCAGGATGGACAAGTAATTTGCCCAATGTTTCACAAGTAGCAATTCTCAGAGGCACGATTTGAACTTAAGTCGTCTGATTGCAGAGTCAACAATGTTTCCACTGTGCCATACTGTCCATAAGAATTCAATTAAAAAGAAATAAAAGCTGAAGAGCTTATTTAAAGAGGAGAAAATGATAATTTCATGGCAATTTAGGGTTTACAAGGCATCTTACCCACAACCCTGTGAGACAGGTAATCCATATGTTATTATCCCCAGCTGTCATACACCAGGTAAGCAGGAAAGGTAGGATTTAAACCCAAATCTCTGCCAACTCCAGTCCTATTTTCACTGTATCATGTGAAGGTTTGGGTGTCAAAGCCGAAAGCACTACCCAGAGAAGAACCTCTTCCCCTTGTTTTCTTCAATGCTTCTTCCTTTTTTTTTTCCCCAGGAGGCAAACAGGGTTAAGTGACTTGCCCAGGGTCACACAGCTAGTGTCTGAGGCCAGATTTGAACTCAGGTCCTCCAGACTCCAGGGCTGGTTCAGTGGCCTATCCATTGTACCACCTAGCTGCCCCCTTCCTTCTTTCTGGAGCCTAAATGGAGAGTGACTTTCTCTCTGCTCTCAGCCATTTCACCATCTAATATCTGTCCCTTTCCCACCACTGCCCCCTTCCTGCCTTAGACCCTTTGCCTTCCTCTGGGCTACAGATAGCCCAGTTCACATTTACATTCTGGTCTTCTAGTGGGGAAGGGCTTGTTTTAGCTGCAGCATGACAAGTAGAAACACAGTCCCCACTGAGGCGTTCCCCAGATGAAGGCCAGCGAAGTCAAGATGGGGCAAAGTGTCCAATCTCCTGGCAACCAGGCAGTGCCGTGGGCAGCCCACAGGCCATTTGGCTCGGCTGGACTAGGGCGTGGGATTAGCCTTATCGCTGTGTTTTGTTCTTTGTATCTAACCAGCAAAAGTAGGACATATGTCATCACATCGAACCAGCCTCTAGCCCCAAACGGATTTGAATTCCAGCCCTGGGTAGGAGGCTGGCCCCGATGACTTCTCTGGTTCCACCAAATAATGTTGTGGATGTTAAAGACAGGGAAGAAACATTGTACCTACTGGATGGGGGGAAGAGGAACCTGTAGGTGAGCTGGAGAAGAGCTGTGCGGATTCCGGCAATGATTTTTATGGGGAGAAAAGGCATGAAAGAAGAGGCTTCGTCAGTGCATCCTAAGGGTCATGCAGCCCTTCCATCTGCCTGACAGCTGAAGCCTTCAGTATGGATTGCCTTCCCTTATTAGAATATGAGCTCTTTGAGAGCCTCACTGCTTTCCTGTTCTGTGTGTATCCTCAGTGCTTAGCACGGTGCTTTGCACATTCATAAATGCTTCATTCATTCATAGAATTGTTGACAAATTTGGACCCAAAGCAGACCTGAGAAACATACACCTTATTCCCGTCATTGCAAAAGTCAGTGGAGACTATGGGTGTGGAATATTACAAATATCATCCAACATGGTTTACGTGTTGGCTGGTTTTGCTGAACTGCTTTCTCTTTCTCTTTTGATGTTTTTTTCATTAAATTTTATTTTTTTCAATCAATGAACAATTTTCCTTGCAACCACCCCCCTGCCTCCTTTCCTTTAAACTTTGTTGCAAGGGAGGCTTGCTGGGGAGGTGAGAAGAGAGGTGTGTATTTGGAAATGAAAACAAGGCATTAATAAAAGTTACGTGAAGAATGAAGAGTAATGGCGGTTCCCCTCTCTTCAAGGTTTCCAAGTACAACGGTCTTTTGAGTGGGACCAAAAGAAGGGTCACATAATACTAAAGATATTTGTGATGGTCAAGACTTCAGGACGCTGGTCCATCTGGTGACCAATGATGACTTTGGAGGCCTGATGGTGAGGTGGGTGTCCCGTGTCTCTGCAGGAATATGGGAGACTGTGAGGCGTCTATTGTTCGACAAGGCCAACATATTCTATTGAGGGGGTGGGGGAAGTCACTGGGAAATAGCGGTGTGTCAAAGAGCTTCGATGAAGCATTTAAAACAAGAACAACAAAAACGGCACTGGCTTTGGGATGAGGCTTCGGACCTGGGTTCAAATCTGCCCATGACATTTGCTCTCTGTGTGACCACGGGCACGTGACTTACTCCTCCTTGGCCTCACCTTTGTGCTGTTGTTACTCAGTTGTCTCAGTCATGTCTGACTCTTTGTGAGCCCATCTGGGGTTTTCTAGGGGAAGGTCCTGGAGTGGTTTGCCATTTCCTTCTCCAGAGATGAGAAAATGGAGGCAAACAGGGTTGAGTGACTTGCCCAGGGTCACACAGCTAGTAAGTGTCTTAGGCCAGATTTGAACTCAGGAAGGCTCATCTTCCTGAGTTCAGGCCTGGTGCTCTATGCACTATGGCACCGCCTAGCTGCCCTGGCCTCAGTTTATCCATCCGTAAAATGAGAGATTAGACTGGCTAGTCTCTGAGGTCACCTCATATCTACACCCAGGAACCCATGAAAAGACAACGTATGATTGACTAGGAAGGGGGAGTCTGAGGAGCACCAGCAAGGCTGAAGTGGGGATCTCGCCATAGCTGCTGTCCTTAGCTTAATGGTCACATTTGGGGCATCTCCACTATTTCTTCAGAGTTAGAAGGGACCCCAGAGTTGTCTGGTACAGCCCCTTCATTTTTCCAAGGGTGTAACTCATTTCCAGGCTGACAACCTCAGCCAGGCCTCAGTACTATCCATGATGACGAGCCCTATTTAGAGACAGCAAGGTGGCACTCTGGCCAGCTAGGTGGTTACTGACTGTGTGCCCTGGGCAAGTCACCCTCTGTGGCTCAGTGTTCTTATCTGTGAAATGAGGGGTTTGGTCTTAATGGCCTCTAAGGTCCTCTACACTTCTAAATCTAGGACCCTATGAGTCCCTGGTGGGTGAGTGGGTGGGACTAACCTCCTCAATGGCTTGGCATCTGGCAAATTTAATCATAAAATCTCGTAGCTGGAAGGGACCTCACAAGCCATCTCATTTAGGGATTCTTAACCTGGGAACCTTGAACTTTCTTCTTATAAAGTATTTTATATCTCTATTTTAATGTAATTGGTTTCCTTTGGAATCCTGTGTGTTTTGTTTTATGCATTTAAAAACGTGATTATGGGAAGGATTTCAAAGGCTTCACCAGACTTGTCTGCCCAAGGGGTCCAGGACACAAAAAAAGCTTCATCTAGAATTCTCGACCTAGCCCAACCCATGTCTAAGCAGGGACGCCTCTCACACATCCTTAACAGTCATCCAGCTTCTGCTAGGAAATCACCAGCGGTTGGCCTTCAAGCCAAGAAGACTTGTGTTCAAGTCTCACCTCAGAAACATGCTGACTGTGTGAATCTGGGCAAAGTACTTCTCAGTGTTCTAGGCACCTCTTTGAGACTCCAAGGGGCAGAGAAGGTGTTCACCTGTACTGGTGGAGGGAGTTTCCTCACCTGGGAATTCCCTATGTCACTGACCTGTCTGTGATGTCAATGGAATTACAGGCCCGATCCCTAGGATTTTTTCTTCTTCTCTTATCAAGCCCCAAATCTGTCTATCTGCTACACATTTCCATTCCTATTAACTGACCTTCCTGGGCCCCGCAGGACAAGTCTACACCCAAGGAATGAGATGCAGATCTGGGAGCATATAGAAAAAAGAGATTATGCCTACATGCAGAAAAAGGACCACTTGTATGGAAGAGTTCAGTAAGTACTTGGGGCACAATGACAGTAATGATGTTGAATTATTGCATGTCATCTATTCCCTTTTGTGTTTTAATTAAAGTTAGATTCAACAATTGTTATAATTATATACAAACACTGTAATTATAGTTAGAGGTTTTGGGCAGTGGTCAGAAGTTGGGACTTTCCATTCATAATAAAAGATCCAGACACGGAAGGGATTTCAGAGGTCATCTAGTGAAATATTCTCATTTTACAGATGAGGAAACTGAGGCCTAGAGAGGTAGAGTGACTTACCCAAGGTCACACTGCTAGTAAGTGGGTCATGGGACCATGGGAGGGACTTCAGAGTCATCTAGTCTAATGCCTTTCATTTTATATATCAGAAAACTGAGGCTCCAACACACTGGGTTTAAGACTTTGGGCAGAAAGGAGAGAGAAAGTGAGGAGGAGGGAGGGGAGGACCCCCCCAAGGTCAGGCAGGTCTCCTCAGAATCCCCTCTTTGTGCTGTGCTCCTCCCAACCTTTGTGACTTTATTATTGCTGCCTGGAATGTCCTTAATTTGGAATCTAAGACCTTTAAGGGCAGCTAGGTGGCGCAGTGCATAAAGTGCCAGGTCCGAGTTCAAATGCAGCCTCAGTTACTTACTAGCTGTGTGACCCTGGGCCAGTCACTTCACCCTGTTTGCCTCAGTTTCCTCATCTGTCAAATGAGCTGGAGAAGGAAATGGCAAACCAGTCCAGTTTCTCTGCCAAGAAAACCTCAAATGGGGTCACGAAGAGTTGGACGTGCCCAAATGACAATAACAGGAAGACCTTTGCAGGACCTGTGTCTAGTCCAATCCAGGGGAGCAGGCATCTACCTTACACACAAGTGATTCTTTTCCCTCTACCTCAAGACTTCCAGTGATGGGGAATTTACAGGAGCAGATGACTCTAATTTTGGGGTGGGGGAATTTCCATTAGATTGAGTCCAAACCAAATCTTTCTTCAAATTCCACTATTCCTCTGAATTCTGCCTTCTGGAACTATATCAGTGCAAAGTGAGGTCAACTGAATCAATCTCTGCCTCACTGGGGAATTGTAGACACGTTATTTCACCTCCTTGGACCTTGGTTCCCTCCCATCTAAAATGAGTGCTTTGGGTCAGGTAATCTCCCAAGTTCCCTTCTGGCTCTGACGTTTCAGAGTCGTCATCTATGACCAATCACCCACTTCTGCCCAATGGCCTGGGTTCATCAGAGCCCTCCCTTACTGCAGAAAGGATAGCGAGGGGGAGGTGACAGATGTGTGAACAGGGTAGCTACAGCCGACCAGAGAGAAACAAGCGCCCCCTTAAAAGTCCATGCCCTGAGAATAGAGATGGACTTGTTCCCATCACAGATAGGTCAGCCACAGCTCCAAGGGCACACTGGCTGCAGCAGAGGTCTTGCCCCTGAGGCAAGGAACACCCTTTCTTCCCTGGCTGTGGGTCCCAGGTACAGCCAAACATAGGAGGAAGGTCTGTCAAGACGGAAAATGCCCCATCCACATCCAGAGAAAGGACTATGGAATCTGAATGCAGATTGAAGCATGCTATTTGCTCTTTTTTTGTCTTCTGTTTTGTTTTGGTTCTTCTAATTCTTCTTTACAACATGACCAATGTGAAAATGTATTTAATAGAAATATATATGTGGAGCCTACATCAGCTTGCACACCATCTTGGGGAGGGAGGGGAAGAAAATTTAAAACTCAAAAGCTTCTGGAAGTGATTGTTGAAAACTAAAAATAAATCAATAAACAAAAAAAAGGAAGGAAGGTCTAAAGAAAATGAGTTTAAAAGGAACCAGGTGAACTGAATGCTGGGAAATTATTATGACCAGGTTTGGTGTCAAAGAAGAGATATGAGAAGGTACCTTCCTACCTTCTTTGCAGAGCTGAGGGATTATGGGTATTCCATGCTTGGAACTCACTCCCTTCTTCTGCCTCAGTCAGAGCTCTTCCTTTAAGATGCTCAGGCGCCGCCTTCTGCATGAAGATCTGAGCTCTCTCAATCTGCAGTGTCCTCCCTCCCCAACTCCCTCATACTTACCTCTCTTATCTATGTATTTTTGTAAGTAGCCACTTTAATGATGCACACACACATATGTAGATGTTTTTGTTGTCTCCCCCCCCCCATTAGAATGTAAACTCCTTGAGAGTAGGAATTGTTCCAGTGTTTGGTACCTCTGTCTCCAGCAGCAAACACAGCTTCTGGTCCAAATTACTGTTTTCAGTCATCTTCTAGTCATGTCTGACTCTCCATGACCCCATTTGGGGTTTTCTTGACAAATTATGGACTTAATAAATAGTTGTCAATTGATTGACTTATGAATGAGGGACAACAAATGTTGATTTTTTAGTTGTATGACATAGCATGGCTGAAATGGACTTTCTTGATCTTTTTTTAATCTTTTCTTACAAAGGATGACCTTTTGGGAGGTAGAGGGGGAAGGTTATACTTGGAAATGTAGGTTTAAAAAGATGTTATTAATAAAATGAAGAGCGTAGCAAAGATGTGTGAGCCTATCCTTAACTCACTGACTCTAAAAGTCAGATTTTGTGCATATTCTATTGCCAGCAGGATGGGAAAGAGGTGTTAATTTGATGTGCAGCAAAGACATTGAACATGCTGTATTAACAGCATATCCTAAAAAATTTTTAAATAAAATGATAAAAATTATTGATAAAAGGCTAACTGAAATTTTAAAAAATTAACTAAGCTATGAGAATGAAATATTTGGATAAATGTGAAAAACTCATCTCACGTCATGAGAGTGGCTCACGCCTTCTGGCCCACTCTGATAGGATTGTTACAGTTGGTTTGGGAGAGAATGGGGGGAAGGGAGAGCTGGGGCATGCTCAGAAAGGAGAGCTGAGTTTGGGAAGCCCACCTGGTAGTGCCCTGGTCTCTAAGAAAGGCTCCTGTGGCTGGGCTCCTTGGCTGCCAACAGGATGAGTGACGTGGCCACCAGTTCAGGGGGGCTTGGATTAGGGACGCTGTTTTATTTGTGTCTCGATGAGCTAAATGACCTGGACATTGTAATCTAAGGAGAGCTCATTCTCTCCCAGCACAAGTGCACAGCCCGATGCCCTTCCTGGGAGCAGCAGGCTGGACAGAGGGGCACCAGGCGGGACTTTGGCATTCCAGGCACATCTCTGAGCTCATCAGGGTGGCTGGCTGCTGGCAGGTACAAGAAAGCTCGTAGGAGCTGGCGTGAAACAAAATGCATCTCAGAGACACGGTGCTCAGTCATATTTATAATGAGACTGGCATGTACTCATGCCAAGGCTCGGTCTGAGACCACCCAGTTTGAGGCCTCCTCTGTGGCTATAAATCACGATCTCTGTCTGAGACCTCTCCCCAGCTCCCAGGCCAGGGACTAGGTCAATATTGACTCGCCCCAGTTTTACTGAGGAAATTGTCTAGATGACCATGAGACAAGGACCAGGGGTCAAGGAACTTAGTTTCTAGCCCTGGCTGCACCCAACGAGTCCCATTGGCCAGGCCCTTTCATCGGCCTGTGACTCATTTCCTTCCACCAAAAAAGGAAGACACTGAAGTGGTGTCACAAAGAGTCACAGACACTGAACATGATAGTGGGGTCTCTCAGTCCCCTTCCAATCCCAATGTCCTGTGATCGCTCTAGTCATTCTGTGATGACTCAGGAAAAAGAACCACTCGCTGGGGGCCAAGGGCCCTGACCCAAGGTCTCCCATCTCCTCTGACTCTTTATTTCTCCCTTGCCTCTGGGTACTTGCTGCATGTGTGACCTTGGGCAAGTCAATGAGCTTTCCTGAGCCTCTCATATGTAAAAGGAGAGAGTTGGCTTAGATGGGCCATGTGGTCTTTTCCAGCTCTGAATCCTGTTATGACTCTGTGGAAATTCAACATGCTGAGATTCAATCATGTCTGACAGCCGAGTAGGGGGGATGAAGGAGGCAGGAGGGGAGAGAAAGGGGTAGGGGAAGAGGAGGAAGGGAGGGAGAGAGAGAGACAGACAGAGACTGAGAGAGAAAGGCAGAAGGGGAGAGAGACAGAGGGAGGGAGAGAGAAAGGTGAAAGACAGACAGATACAGAGAGAGAAGAGCGGGGATAGAGAGACAGAGAGAGAGAGGAGGGGGAGGAGAGATAGACAGAAAGAGAGGGGAAAGAGACAGAGAAAGACAGAAGAGAGAGAGGACACAGACAGAAAGGAGAGAGGGGAGAGACAGAGAAAGACAGAGAAGAGAGCCAGAGAGGAGAGAGAGACAGATGGAGAGAAAGCCAGAGATAGAGGTGGGGAGAGACAGAGAGATGGAGAAAGACAGAGGGAAGAGAGAGACAGAAAGGGGAGAGACAGAGAGATATAGAGATGGGGAGAGAGACAGAGAAAGATGGAGAGAAGAGAGAGAGAGTGAGAGGAGGGGTTGGAGGGAGAGGCAGAGACACAGAGACAGAGAGAGAGAGAGAGAGAAACTTTTTGCCCCTAGAATACAAACAACTCTGTCTGCAAACATGGCTTGTTTTTTTTTAAAAGTCAGAAAGAGGCTGTGGTCTCCAAGCACACTGCGGTTGAGTTCAGGTGATCTGCCCTTAGAATGTAAGGAGCCTGGAGCTGCTCTGTCCTGCTCCAAAATTCCTGGCTGTCCCTCTGGGGCATGGAGACACTTGGGCTCAATGGCAGTAGCATATGTCTGGGAACTGATAGCTGCCGCACAGCTGTAAATCTTCTCCTGAGAGTTTGTCATGGGGTCTGACCGTTTGAATCCCATCGGATGGAAACCTCTGCCATCAGCCTTTTCAGTGAGGTCCTGGGAAGGAGGTGGGCCCCTGCCCAGCCCCTCTTGCCCTCTACCAACTCCCCTTTTTCTCATAGAATCACAGAACGTCAGAGATCAAGGGGCCTTGGAATGTAGAACGTTAGAGATGGAAGGGACCCCAGAGTAGAGATTATGGAGCAGGCAGGGCAGAGGGGATGGGCATCCTAAGAGGCCATATTCTAATAGACAGTTCGTTGTAGCGGTTACAGTGTAGTCTTCAGGCGGAGCCTGAAGACCCTAACCTTTCCATATCACAAAGTATAGAAATCAAGGAAATGGGTTCTTGGTTTATGTTATGTTTGTCTTCCTAAAGGAGGTACTCATTAACTGTGAGTGTGTTAAATGCAAACTAACTTCCCTGTGTGAGAAGGTGAAAAGATCCAAGGAATGTTTCTATATGCTCCCATTTATCAGAGAAGATAAAGGATTCCTAGAGAGGTAGAAGAAATAACCCATGAAGGAAGCCTGGAAGAAAAAGATTTGGGGAAGTTGGAGGGGAATATAAACCAAGTGGAAGAATGCAATACATGGGAGGAAAGGAAGAGGAGACAGAACCAGTAGACCTAACACAGAAAGAACAGGCCTCTTGCTTTCAAGGGTAGTTCTGGGCTGAGAGTATCCTGTTCAACAAACAATTCAATACAACAAAGGTGCATCGGACATTTGCTGTAGAAAAGGCCCTGTGCTGGATACTGAAGACACAAAGATAAAACTGAACGCAATACATGCCTTCAAAGAGCTTAAATTCCATGGGTACTAACAGATGAGTGAATGAAAGCATTGATGAGACAAAAGAGCCATGAGGGAATCTGTCCTTGACCCAAGCAAGGAGAGATACAGGAATGGGGTGGTTCTCTGCTCAGTAGACCCAACGTGGCCATTTGTGAGGTATACTTGTCTTTTATTCACTCAACAATCATTAAGAACTCTCTTTTTGTCTAGGATTGCTGTTTGTCCTTCGTTCTGCTGAAGGGTGGAAGAGTCAGAGTTTAGATAAGAAAGGCTATTTCAGAGTCCTTCACGAGGCTTATTGTCTAATGTTCATGGAGGATTTGAAGCGGAGGGCATAAAGTGGCCCAGTGCGCAGAGTGCTGGACCCATAGTCAAGAAGATCTGAGTTCAAATCCTGACTCAAACACTTATTGGCTGTGTGACCAGGGATGAGTCACTTGCCCTTTCTAAGCCTCAGTTTCCCCATCTATAAAATGGAGCACCTACCTTGAAGGGTAGTTATGAGGATCAAATGAAATGACTTATATAAAGTGCTTTGCAAAGCTACAAACCCAAGTCACCATTTACAACACAAAATGCTCGCAGAATGTCAGGGTTGAAGGAAACCTCAGTGGCCAACCCATACCTGAAAAAGAATGCTCTCTCCAGCGTACCCAATAACTATTCTCTTTCAGCCTATGAGAAGACACTCATACCTGCAGAGCCTTCTATTTGACCTTTGGACAGCTCCCAATATTGGGAAGTCATTCTTCAGACCAAGCCAGAATTTGCTTCTTTGCAATGCTGACCCCTCCCTCCTGCCTTCCGGAGCCAAAAGGAATAGAGCAATTACATGCCTTTTTCCAGGTAACAGCACTTTAAATACTTAGAATTAGAGAATCATAGATTCTATATGTCGAGAAAGTCCCTTGGGAACTATCTAATCCTATCCCCTTCATTTTACAGATGAGGAAGCCAAGTGACTTTCCTAAGGTCACATATGTAAGAATTGGCAGAGGTGACATCTGAACCTAGGTGCTGGGACTCCCAATGTGACACTACAACAGATGGCTCTCATATCCATCTCCCTTCACCAAAGTCTTCTCTTCTCCATCTAAGTATTTCTATTTCTTTCAACGAATCCATCTCAAGACCCTTGGCCATCCTGATTGTCCTTTTTTGGACACTCTCTGGTTATCAATTCTCATCCTAAAATGTGATGTGCCTCAGATACTTACCAGCTGTGTGACCCTGGACGAGTTACTTAACCCTGTTTGCCTCAGTTTCCTCATCTGTAAAATGAGCTGGAAAAGGAAATGGCAAACCACTCCGGAATCTTTGCCAAGAAAACCCTAAATGAGGTCATGAAAAGTTGGACATGACTGAAAACAACTCAACAACGATAACAAAATGTGGTGTCCATGTGAACTCAACATTCAGATGTTGTCGGACCAGGACAGAGTATGGCAGAACAATCCCCTTCCTTGTTCCGGACTAATGCAGCCTAGGAGAGTATCAGCTGTTTTTGTTTTGGCATGTAACACTTTGACTTGTATTGAGCTTTCATTCCACTAAAAACCCTGGATCTTTTTACACAAATAAAGATTTTTACCATGAGGGGGTAAATATGACATCATAGGTATCACCAAAACTTAGTGCTATGGGACTCATAACACTACTGTGGTAATGTGAATATGTTTCTTACTCAAAAGAAAAAAAATCTGACATAAGGGATTTGGAATGGCACTATATGAAAAGAAGACATATACTTTTAAAATAAAACTCTTTTTTTTCAAATAGCAAAATAGCAAACAGCAAAAATCCACCTTCTCTCCTTTCTTCACCCACTTCACCACTCTTAGAGGAAAAAAAGGAAAACAAAACTGCTGTTACAAAAATACAAAGTCAAGCGCAATAAAATTCCTGAATTAGGCATATCTAGAAAAAAAAAGATACCTATTTTTTGAGAATGGAATTACAGTGGAGAGCATTTAGAGAAAGATAGAAAGAGAAGAATAGTAGTGATATTACAGTACTCTACTATACTACAACCCATTCAGTCGGTTGAAGATTATGGATAATGTTTTTCTTGATACAAATCACAAAACTGTCACAAAGATAGAATAGTGATATGAGGGGGGAAATTTAACTACTTAATCTAAGATATACATATACATGTATGTGTATATATATACATATATATATATACATATATAACAAAAGGAGAGCACCTAATACCTTTTGCAATAAACTTGAAAATAATTTCATCTCTCAGAAAACAGAAGTGACAAGGTACAACTATTACTCTGGATCTGATTGAAGCTCAAAAGGAGGATCTGACCAGGAAAGCAGGAGCAGTAGGAACCTTGGAAGAGAGCATCATTGCCATTTTAGAGTGTGCAATACTCAATGTGCCAAAGGCATAGTCAGTCATGTACCCTAGATTTTAGGAATGCAGGTTTAAAAATGTTTTTAGAGGCACAATCCTATGACCTAAGACTCTAAAAAGAGAAAGATGATTCAAAAGGGATAGAAGGCTCTCAAAAATGAAATTCTGACAAGACAGTTGCAGATTAAAGTGTAAATCATTACTCGTAATCCTTGGGGAATCAGGGAGAGTATGAGAAGAATTAACAGGCCAGAGATTTTCCCCAAAGAGGAGAAAACAGTCTGCTATAGGCTACTGGGCTTGATAATAATGCCCAGCAAAATTCTAGAAGAGATGATTAAATAAGGCTTTGCAAGACTTTAAAAAGAAAAGCAGTAATCGTTAGGGGCCATCATGGATTCACTAAGAGCAAGTCATAGTGTATAGGATAGAGTGCTGGACCTGGAATGAGGAAGACCTGAATTCAGATCCTGCCTCAGAAACTTATTAGCTATGTGACCCTGGGCAAATCACTTGAACTACCTTGGCTTCAGTTTTTCCTTTTTTTTTTTTTAAAGAAATTCCATTAAAATTTTATTGATGTTTTCTGTTTCTTACATGACCATAGTATCCCATGTATGGTTCTCTCCCCCACCCCCTTAGCGCTTCCCCAGAGCCATCCTATAAAACAAATAGTGGTTTGTTTGGTTTTTAGAGAGAGAGAGAGAAAAAAAAAATCCGCATAACTAGTCAATAGATTGAGAAAGCCCCAAAACATGTGTAGTGTGTAACATCTGTGGACTTCCCACTGCCATAAGCTTGTAGGTTGGGGGTATCTTTTCATATCTCTTCATTTGGGTCCCACTTGATCTTTATAATTTTGTTATGTTTACTTTTGATTCTTTGGTGGGTCGTTGTTCTTTCTACCCATGTCTTTTGGAGATCAACTTCCTCATTCTTGAATTTTGTAAACGCATAGTTTATTGAGCATATTCTGTCTCTCATCTGTGGACTATCAATATGTCTTATGCTGACCTCCCCCTAGTATACAATTCATTGCCTGAATATTACAAAATAAGGCAAATTTCTCCCTGCTCCCAAAATTAAGTACATCACAAACATAGGAACAAAAAAATCGTACATGGGGTTTGAGGACTGGGATTTCCATCTGGAGGAAGTGTCAGGAAATGTCATAAAGCAAGTGTTATCCTCATTGTCATCATCATTATCATGCTCTGTGGTTTCTTCACTCTCATCTGATATTGGGTCAATAGTTAGAATATTTTCATTCTTGGGGTAGAGGCTAACAGAAAATAGAGGCCAGAGAGGCTCTAAAAAGGAGCTAGTGAATGTATAGAAGTGGCATCTACTGTCTGCATCATAAAACACTATGTCTCCTGCCTCATAATCCAAAAAGATCCCTACTTTGTTGAGTTTTCCTCTTAAGCGAATTCTGGTCCTAGGTGCAGCACAGACTATATAGTTATTTTGTCTTAGACTCAAAGCCAGTATCCAGTAGGAGAAGATGGTGAAACCTCTCAATTCTTTTTATAGAGTTCTTACAAAGACCAATATCCCAAGCAGAACTGTTTCCCACTGTCACCCCCCAATAATGTCTTCCGGGCTTGAAGCTCTGAGTCGCTAGAACTGGACCACACAGATCGGATCTCTCCACAGTACAATGCGATTCCTTCCATGAATCTCTTTCTCTCCTTGTTTTCACATCTGTGGACATGATGATTCCAGGACGGGCAGTTTCAGGATCCAGACTGATTTCCTCATGGAATTTTGTCTTGATCATTTTTCTCTGATTCAGGCTCCTCCTCAAGTGAGGCTGCAGCGGTCTGAAGGACTGTGCCACACTGTCTACAGCTGCTGATTGGGCCAGAGGTTCTCGATAAAACAAACTTTCTGGCATTCAGGACATTTCAAACAGTCCCCATTAGCTGAATAAATGTAGTGGAGGATACAGTCTTTGCAGAAATGGTGACCCCATTCTTTAGAGATGGCACTTGTGAAGAAATCTAGGCAGATAGAGCCATCATCTCTTCTGAAATACTTGAAGTAAGATATGAGGCCATGATTCTTTCTGATTTTGGGTCTTTCCCTGTTCTTGGAGCTCCTCTCAGTTTCCAAGAAGAAAGATTCTCAGCCTCAGTTTCCTCATCTGTAAAATGGGGATAATAATAGCACCAACCTCCCAGGGTTGTTGTGAGGGTCAAAAGAGATCATGATAAAATACTTGACAAACTTTGAAGTGCTGTGTAAATGCTAGCTGTCATGTCTTCTGTCCTGGTATAGTAAGAATTACAGCTAGTTATTGCTTTTCTTTTTGAAATGATATTACTCAACTTATAAATAATAATTACTGAACATATCAAATGATATAATATTTTAAAGGCCATAACAAGTGTCTGGCACATAATACGTGCTTAATAAATGTTTGATATTTATCTTCTTCCCTTCTCTCCCTCCTCCCCACCCCCCCACCCAGTAGCTCTGGGAGGGGTTATCCACATAGTGCTTCTGGATAACACAAAGTTGGAAGGCACAGGATTACAGAATGATAAGATGTTTTTTGTTTGTTTGTTTGTTTTTAAGGAAATTGGGGCTAAATGACTTGCCTAGGGTCACACAACTACTAAGTGTCTAGTCTGATGCCAGATTTGAACTCAAGTCCTCCTGACTTCAGGCCTGGTGCTCTATCCACTGCACCACCTAGCTGCCTTATTAAAGGGGTTTTAACCAGACGACTTTCAGGTTCTTTTTTTTTTTTTTTGGTGAGGCAATCAAGGTTAAGTGACTTGCCCAGGGTCACGCAGCTAATAAGGGTCAAGTGTATGAGCCCAGTTTTGAACTTTGGTCCTCCTGACTCCCAGGCTGGAGCTCTATCCACTGTGCCACCTAGCTACCCCTCAAGATGTTTTCTGCCATTAAATTTCTTTAAAATTTTATTGATGACTTTTGTTTTTATGTTATCATCGTGTCCAACTGTATTTGCCTCCTACCCCCACAACTAGTGAGTCTTTCCTCAGAGCAAAAGCAGTTAGCCCAACAGATGGTTCAGACAACGTATGCAGCATTCTGTGCCCGCAGTCCTCCACCTCTCCTGGAAGGGATCCTAGGATTTAGACTGGAGAAGAACCTGGAGAATAATCTAAGAGAGGTAGTATAGCCTAGTGGGTAGTGTTCTGTACCACTTTAGAAAGTTGTGTGATCACAGGCAACTTCCCAAAGCCTGTTTTCTCATCTGTAAAATTAAGTTATTGATACTTTCACAATCTGCCTCATAGGTTGTTGTGAGAAAAGGGCTTTGCAAGTCTTAAAGGGCTATATAGACGGGAATCTGATGATGAAGATGATGATGTCCATTATCCTAATTTTACAGCTGTAGAGACTGAAGGTCAGAGAAGCCTCAGATAACTGATTTAGAGCTGGAAAGGACCTAGTACAACTCCCTCATTTTACAGATATGTTCACTGAGACTCAGAGGCTAAGTGACTTGCCCAAAATCACACTGGTGAAGTGGCAGAGCTGGGTTGCTTAAGTGACTTGGCTAAGGTCACACAACTAGGTAAGTATCAAAGTCTGGATATCTTTTATATGGGATGAGAAAACCAGCATCCAGAAGCATCCCAGCAAGCCAGATCAATGAGGGGAATCTAACATTCTAAAATCATCAAGTGTAAATCCAACAAAGCAGTTGAAAAGCGCTGGTTATGCTCCTGTTTGTTATGTTCAAGGTGCTAGGGAAAGAAAGATAAAAACATGGAGTCGTTGCTGATTTCAGAAAGCTTTTACTGTACTGTCCTAAATGTAAAGTCCCATGCTTGGGTTCAAAAAAAAAAAAAGCATGTAAACAGGATGAGTGAGATCTGGCCTAGCAGCAATTTCTGTGAAACAGCCTTAAAGGTTTCTGAACTCTCTAAA